ACACTGGTCCTAGCTGCAAAGTGCTGAGCAAGCCCCCAGACTCTGAGATTCCCTCCCTCGTCACTCATGATTGATCCAGTGTGGGCATCAAATGTAAAGGAGAACAATCAGTGAATCAGGCTGAAAATTTGAACCTGGGTTTGAGAAGATCAAATTGGCCTTTCTGTGTGCTTGGAACCCAGGCAATAAACTATGAGAAACTTTGGCAGTGAGAGACAAAAAAGAGGAGGAGGAGGAGAAGGAGGTGAAGGAGGTGGAGGAGGAGGAAAAGGAGGTGGAGATGGAAGAGGAGGAGGAGAGGGAGGGGAAGAAGGAGAAGAAGAAGGAGAAGGAGGAGAAAGAGAAGAAAAAAGGAGAAGGAGAAGTAGAAGGAGAAGGAGAAGGGGAGCCAAAGGGAAAAACTGGATGAGGAGTGTAAATAGGAATAACTTTTATTGCATAGTTATTGAGCCAAGACATGTTATTGCTAAGATACAGGCTATCAGTTGTAGCAAGGGCCAGTGACATATTGTTAGTAACATGCCTTAGCCCTTTGGTTATGCAATAAAAGTTATTTCTAAAATCAATTTTCATTTTCCCATTTATACTTAACTACAGTGACTAGAACTGGTAGAATATTATGAAGAGTGATGCTAACCAGCATTCTTCTACTTTTACTGTTATAAACACTCATCCCTTGAAATCCAGAGATTTGTTCCCAGGCCTCCCTCCCCATGGATACCAAAAGCTACAGATGCTCAAATCCACTACACAAAAAATCCTGTAGTATTTACATATAGCCTACACATATCCTCCCATATACTTTAAATAATCTCTAGATCATTCATAAGATCTAATCAGTACAAATGCTATATAAAAACTTATTATGCTGTATTTTTAAGAAACGATGGCAAGAAAAATTTTACATGTTCAATCCAAATGCTTTTCCTTTCCTGGATATTTTCAATATACACTTGGTTGAATCCATGGATATGAAGGACACAGAGCACCAACTGTACTTTGCTAAGATAGATGCTACTTATTATGCTAAGGAAACATTCTTCTATTCAGATTTACTACAAGGACTTTTTCCTCTAGAAGTTGGTGACAGACATTGTTCTAGTTTGTGTCTAGATGTCTCCCCAAAGCCTCGTGTGGTCATAGGACTTTCTCAGAGGTGGCAATACTGAAATTAAGGGTGCTGATGTTTAAGGGTGGGTAATTGCTGGGTCAGTCTACTGGTTGGTTTGGGCCTAACCTTGGCAGAGTGTATACAATATAAAAGACAAAAAGAGGCCTCTCTCTCTCTCTTTCCACTCTCTCTCTCTCTCTCTCTCTCCCTCCCGTATTGCTTTTGCTGTTCTCTGCTGCCATAAATTGTTGGCCCTCTGCTATGCCGCCCTGCTTTGGAGCCAATACATTATGGACTAAAACATCTACAAATTGTGAACTAAATAAACCTTTCCTCCCTTAACTTGTTGGAACTGGGTATTTCGTCTCAGCAATGAGAAAAGTAACTAAGACAGACATTACCAAGTATCTTTTCTCCTTTAACAACAATAAAAAAGCAATGTAACTTTGTCTTTTGACCTTGTGATTAATTTCACTAATAAAATTCCTAATACTAATTATTTTTTGTTCCCTAAAAATTTAATATCTTTAATCATTTTATATTATTCTGAGACTAAGTTGGTAGGTTTGGTTCAGTTCTGCTGTGTTTTACTTAGGATTTTGTATATTCACATAAGATGTCTTTACAGTAAGTCCCTGACTTACAAATGAGTTTCATTCCAGAACATTCATAAATCTGATTCATTTGTAAGTCCAACAGAATGAGCCTTATACGCCTTTTACACGAATATGCAATGTAAAGCATTAAAAAAATCAAACACACACAAAAATTACCGTAAGTCCCCAACTGTACTGGATTTCTGTAAACTGTGACACTGTACAGTAAGCACACAGCAGCACAACTGTGACAGTGTCTGCCAGACACATGAGCTACTTCTGTGATTTGTTCACATCTGTGAATGTTCATAATGCAAGGTCTGGTCATATCTATGAAAGTTCGCACCTGGAGTGTTCACAAAAGGAGACTTAGTGTAGTTTTCTTTCCTTCTTTCCCAGATTATGAGCTGTGGTCATGATAGTTCATGATAACAAATTAAGATATTTTCCACTAATTTTAGATTTCTGGAACTGTTTAAATAGTGAAGGGATTTTCTAACCCTTGAAGGTTTGAAAGAACACAACCTTAAACATACATATGCAGTCTGTGCATCAATTTTGGAGGCAGTCAGTTTTCTCAAAGTTTCCGAGATTGTACTGTGATGGTTGTTTTCTACTTCTTGAATAAGTTTGAATAATTTTCGATTTGTTAGAAAATTTATAATTCTTTGAGGTAGTCAATTGTTTAACGTTAAGCTAAAGATGATGTTCTCTTTTTAAAGTTTTCATGGGTTCCTTATCTGTGTAACTTACTACCTATATGATTGCTATTTCTTTCCTGGGCCATTAGGGGCCACCTCTAAATGAGAAAGGCACCTAGCCAAGTAATATCTGAGTTGACATTTATTCTATTCCTTGTTCAGGTCATCTCAGTCATCTCTATCTGCATGGCTACACCCTCACCATCATGTTAGAAGCAGCCTTAGCAATGCCTTAGAGGGCAGGAAGGGCAGGTCAGCCGGTACTGTACTGACTTAAAAGTGAGTGGTGTTTTTATCCACAGAACTATGGTTGCCATGCTGAGGACAGGTCCCTTATGGGGTGGGCAGGAAAGAGTTTGGGGGGCTGAGATGATGGTGCTCCCCCAGGCTCAAGGACCCTAGGACATTTCCTTGCCCCATGCATTTCCCCATTCCAAGTGCCCTCAGAGTACTGCAGCTATTCACCTCTAGGCTCCTAAGAGCCAATAATAGTGACATGTCATTTCATGCAAAAAGAATCAACTACCTCAAACATACCAGTTTGGAAGGCTGTTATTTAACAATTATGGTTAATCTGTGGAATCACATTATCATTTTAACATTTTTATAGCAGTTGGGAGTTTCATCAAAAACTTTGGTGAAAATTATTAAAGTAAAAGACACATTGCCGTGAATCCCGTTCAGAATACACACTTTGAACACACTGATCCCATCATTCCTGACACTTAGGAAGCAGTTCTGGAAGTCCTTCTAATTGCACTGTCATGGCTGCCTCAGTGTCCTGAACTGATTCAAAATGTTTATGTTTTGTGGTCATTTGACTTTGGGAAAGAGCCAGAGGTTGCACGGTGCCAGATCGGTGAAGATGGTGGATGAGGACTGTCTTAGTTACTTTCCTCATCGCTAGGCCACAGTACCTGACACCAACAAATTAAAGGAGGGGAGGTTTATTTTGGCTCACAGTTAGCAAAGGTTTCAGGAGACAGTCTGGTGGCTGCAAGGCGGGGTGGCATGGTAGAGGTGCACGGTAGAGGACAGCTTCTCACAGCATGACAGATGGAAGCAGAGAAAGGAGAATCTGGGGAGGGAGAAAAGCCCTTCCCAGCCACACCCCCACTGTCCCAGCTCCTTCAACCAGATGCCGTTTTATAAAAAGCAAGTCAGCTGTAAACCGCCGTAATCTAATCACATTCCAATGGCCGCAGCTATGAGCATGTGAGTTTTTAGAGGGCCGTGTAGATATGAACGGACACGTTATGATGTTTTTACAAGCCTGCCTTTTCCTTAGGCAACAGCATTCATTGTTGTTGTTTTTCAGACAAGGTCTTGCTGTGTAGTTCAGACTGGTCTTATACTCACTATGTAGCCCAGTCTGACCTTGAACTCACAGCAATCCTCCTGCCTCAGCCTCCTGAGTGCTGGGACTACAGGCATGCACCACCACACCTGGCTATTTGTATTTTTTATATGCCTTATAAAAATCTGAAAGAGGACTTCCAGAACTGCTTTAGAAAGTGGCAACAACATGGGATAAGAAGGGGAGGGGTATTTTGAGGGGGATTCTTGGCAATGTGCATTTTACTTTAATTTTTTAAATGTAAACATTCACTGTATTTTTATTGTACCTTGTGTGCGGTAGAGAATCTTGAAGAAGAGCCTCATGGGAGGCAGTCAGAGGTGAGGTAGTTGGGCTGATGTGAGAAAAGTCACAACCACGTCTATGATTAGATGAAAAACTGGTTGGGTGGGAGACCAGAGGGGCACAGTTGCGGAGCTAGGTACAGAGGTGGGCAAGGCCTTCATGGTAGGAAGCTGTGGGCTGCTGAAACAGGCAGATTGGAAGCTGGTTGAGGAGCAAGGCCATAACAGGATCAAGTTCCAGGCAGCCTCAGCATTTCCCACCAACAGAAATTCCAGAAAGCAGTTACCCCAACAAGGACTTAAACCAGTAAGGGCCCTTGCCTGTCGAGGTGGCCGGGTATCCATGACCAGTTCCTCCCAGGAGGGACCTTGTTCTTTCTTTGCATATGGCAGGCGGTATAATCCTTGATGCTCACTTAGTGTGTCTCCTATCCCACTGCAATTGCATATAGCTCTCCCCACTGTCTAAGCACAACTGCCAGACGTGATTCACACTCAAGTCCTCTACCTCCTAGCAGGTACCATCAGGAGATATGATAGAATACTTGAACTGGTAAGGATACTCTGTCCAGAAAGCTTTCTGGGTTTATGGGTTCAAATCCTCCTTGGGTTCATGTGAGGTTTTTGTCTCAGATTCCTTCGTTCTCCTCGTCTGGTGCTTTCTTCTTGGATCCTAGTAATACTAGACCTGAGAACATTCTGGAAATAATGACTTTTCTGAAACCCTGGGGAGAAGTTTCCTTTAACAGATACCAACCACAGGCCATTGTTTATGGTAAAGAATGAGGAGGGGAAGTGGCTGCTGCCTTTGCAACACCCATAGGAAAATTCCTGAAGCAGCTTAAGAAGAATACTAGACAGAAACACATGAAATAAAAGTACAAATTAAAATGTTTAATGATGTGAAGTTCCCATTGATCCTTAAATTTCTCTGCCCTATCTTTGTTCCAGGTTCAGGTTTAGTGGCCGTATCCTCGGCTTGGCCCTGATCCATCAGTACCTTCTGGATGCCTTCTTCACAAGGCCCTTCTATAAGGCACTCCTGAGGCTGTAAGTGTGTGGGAGGCAGTGGTTACACAGCCCTTGTGCAGGACAGCAGGGCTGGTCTCCGTGGTGCCTTGGGCCCTTTGTCTCTGTTTTGCTCCAGTCATTCCTGATAGGTTCCTCCGTGGTTTCCTGTTCTGAATGTTTTGCATATGACATATACTTTTTAGTGCAGTTAAAGGCATTTTGAGCATGTATGTAAGCATAAGGAAAGACTCCATTAGCAAAACATCATGTAATATGCATAAATCAGTTTCTATAAAAATTATAATATTCAGACATTGCGTTAAACTATTAAGCAGAAATGATTTGCTTACACCTTACACACAGTGAATGTTTAAAACACAGTGAATGTTTCAATTTTTAAAAATCCATTACAACAAAAGACACATTGCCATTAATTCTCAGAAGCCTGCCTCCTCCCTTCTGGCACGTTTATGCCAATCAAAATGACCATGAAAGATAAATGTTTTGAATCAGAAGAGAGGGAGAGTACTTTGAGGGGAATTAATGGTAATGTCTTTTACTATAATTTTTTTTATTTAAACGTTCTCTGTACGTTTCAATCCCACCTCATAGTTGCTTTAAAATGAGAGTCCATGAGTCAGTAATTATTTATAATTGTTTCATTTATTATTGTAACTATTTTAATAGCTTGTTTTCAAAAGAGAATTATTGAATGAACCAAAATTGTGGAATATACTGATTCAGTTACATATTCAAAATTATCAAATGGTTAGATTAAGTCTGCACTGTTTCAGCCAAAAGTGGCAGAACTACATTTTTCAGTGGAGCCTGGGCAGCAATATGGCCGCTAATAATTCTGCCCATCTTACTCCCTTGGGATCCACGCAGGCCCTGTGACTTGAGTGACCTGGAGTATCTGGATGAGGAATTCCACCAGAGCTTGCAATGGATGAAGGACAACAACATCACAGATATCCTTGACCTCACTTTCACTGTTAACGAAGAAGTTTTTGGACAGGTTTGTGCTTTGTGGGCATGGAAAAGAATTTTGTGTTTTATTGTGGCAAATACATATGTCTTAGTTACTTTTCTAATTGCTGAGATAAAATACCTGACACTCAAAGTTAAAGGAGGGAATTGTACCTCTACAGTCCTTAATTAGCTGACTTCAAGGCAGAGTGGTATCTCTGAGAAGATCCAGTTCATGGCAGGCAGAAAGTAGCAAAACAATAAAAATCAACCCCCACTCTTTCTATCCCTTATATCTTATGCAGGCTTCTTAGACCAGGTGACACTCACACCTTTTATCCTAGTGACCTTGATCCTAGTATTGCACCATGAATCACTTCTAGTTTCACACATTCTAGATTCAGCCACCTCTGAAAATGTCCCACTTATGACCGCATGAGGCTTTGGAGGGACATCTAAAAACAAGCTTTAGCAACATATAACAAAATTTACCATCTTAACCATTGTATGTGTACACCTTAATATTATTCATTGTAAGTGTACACCTTAATATTATTAAGTACATTCTCACTGTAGGTCATCCAATCTCCAGCACCGTTTTGTCTTGCAAAACTGAAACTCTACCCATTAAACAAGAAGTTTCCATTTCTCTCACCCCCCAGCTCTTGGCAACTCCATTCAACTTCCATTTCTATGAACTTGATTGCTCCACATATTTCATGAAAGGGGAAACATGCAACATTGCTCTTTTGTGACTGACTTATTTTACTTAACATAATGTCTTCAAGGTTCATTCCTGTGGGAGCATGTGTCGGAGTTTTCCTTCTTTTTAAGGCTGAGTGATAGTCCGTTATATGTGTCAGCTTTATCATTCATCCATTCACTTGTTGATGGGCTTCTGAATGTCTTCCACCTTTTCTGGTATTATGAATAATACTGCTGCTATGACCATGAGTGGACAAATATGTGTTTGAGTCCCTGCTTTCAATCCATATATTTTCAAAAATAGGGTTGCTAGAACATAGGGTTATAGGATCTTGCTTTTAATCTACAGGACAAAGAATCTCATTCATTCAAATATTATTTCCTTTAATAAATCTGCCCATGTCCTCTTCCTTCTTTTTCTTGTTATGACATGGATCCCCTTTATACAGTTTTTTAAATTACACATGACAGTGGATCAGACACCATTTTTGTAAAGTATACCACACATATGTAAGGTATTTGTGCTGTCTGAAACCACAGGAATAATTACTTTCATCACATCCTCCAAAATGCTTATATGTATCCCAGTACTATTTAACCAGATAAGATTTCTCATTTGTTTGCTACTAGTATTTTTTATATAATAGTAAATTTTCTAATCAAATGAGTTTCCATTTAATCAGGGAATCATCTGAGCAGATTTAACAATTAAAATTTGGAGAACATCAGTTATGAGAAATATTTTTTAAAAATCCTAAAAGCTGTGTAATAGAACTGTTGTGAAACTGAAGTTAAAATACTTTGAGAGATATCGCACGAATGTACCATGATCACAGTTACTCACAGATCACCTAGCTCCCACCGCTCCATTGAGAATGCCACAAAAAGAAAAGAACAGAAAGTGCCACAAAAAGAAAAGAGCAGAAAGAAAAGAAGTGGGGGAGAGGGGAGAAAAGGGAAGAGAAGGGAGGGGGAAATACAATCTGCAAGCCCTGTGAGATGCTGAGATCTCCTCTGAAAATCAAAATGTTGGTCCAACAGATGAGATTCATGGACAAGCATCATGGCTTCCTGTTTCCCCATAGGTAACAGAAAGGGAGTTGAAGTCTGGAGGAGCCAACACCCAGGTGACAGAGAAGAACAAGAAGGAGTACATCGAGAGGATGGTGAAGTGGCGGGTGGAGCGCGGCGTGGTGCAGCAGACGGAGGCACTGGTGCGGGGCTTCTATGAGGTGAGGCCCCAGGGAAGGCTGTCAGGGCCCCTGCTCCTTGAGGCTCCTTGGGGGACAATGTTTCTTGGAAACTTCACTGTGATTTCAGAAAGTCAAGTCAGGTTCGTTTGCAACCTTCCTCCTGAAATGCGTGCCTGAGGTGATGCAGACCCTGGGGTCTGTTTTTTATTGCCAGTCTATGAAGGGTTTGCACCAAGACATTTACCTCAGTGACTGCCTTCATCCATTCGGGTTACCAGAATACCACACTCCATCCAGGAGCACAGAAGCACCAGAATTCTACTTCTCACAATTTTTGGAGGCTGGGAAGTCCAAGATGAAGACGCATTAATAGATTCAGTGTCTTATGGTTCACAAACGGCAGCTTGTTATGTCCTCATTCGGTGGAAGGAAAAGGGGTCTTTCTGGAGCCTCTTTGATAAAGATCATGAGTCCCATTCATGAGGGGTGCAACTGCTGACCCCAAAGGCCTCACCTCCTAAGGCCATCACCTTGAAGGTGAAGATTTCAACCCGCGAATGGGGAGAGGGACAAAGATTCAGAAAATAACAGTGATTTTGAATGTAAACATAATTGCATGCTGAAACGAAAAAAAAAAAGAAATGGTAAATGATGTCACGTCCCCAGTTTAACCCACAGCAATAATGATGGTGACCGTCACCTCCCTTGGCATATGGGCCTCTGTGCTGAAGCTAATCTGTGTCTCAGGTCGTAGACTCAAGGCTGGTCTCAGTGTTCGATGCCAGGGAGCTGGAGCTAGTGATTGCTGGTACCGCAGAGATTGACTTGAATGACTGGCGGAATAATACCGAGTACCGGGGAGGTGAGTGAGCCCGGGTGTGATGATCCTGTCACAAATACAGTTCGTCATTTTTTTTTTTTAATTTTTGTTGGGTGAAATTGACATATTTTAAAGTGAGCAATTCAGCACAATTGAGTACATTCACAGTGGGGGGCAACCGATTATTGGGTACAGGGTTCCCTTTTGGGGTGATGACAATACTTTAGAGCTAGCTAGACCTTTAGCTAGCTAGAAGTTCCTGGTTAAGCCGGGAACTTCACACTGAGCTACCACCCCAGCCCTTTTTCTTAATGTTTTATTTTTGACACTGGGTCTCTCTGAGTCACGAAGTTGCCCAGGCTAGTAGACTCATACTCGCCATCCTCTTACCCCAGCCTCCCAGAGTGCTGGGTTACAGGGGTGTACCACCATGCCTGGCCTTAAACTTCGTTTTCATTAGGCCATTTCCCTACCCACAAAGCATACGCCTTATAGACTTTTGTAAAAGTTCTTTTTTTAAGTCTCATAACCCTTCCTTCACATAAAATATTATGGAGAAACCCAATCAATGGATTAGAGAGCAAGAACTAGGAGTGCCATTAGCTCCCTCGCCCAGCACTATACTCTGCAACCAGAACTTCTAGGTTGGCCTGGTGTGGAAACTGTTGCTCTATGGTGTCGGTCAGAACATCCCCGCCTAGATGTCAAGGCCTCCAACACCGCCAGTAATTTCCTTTCTCTCCTCATCAGGTCTGCTCTGTGCTGACCAGCTAAACAATCCCTGCATGGTTTTTTTTTTTCATCCTTGTTGTAATTTCCTATGCCAGAAATGTCATTCCCCTTTTCTCCACTTACCCAAATCCTTCCCACCTTGAACTCAGACCCCAAGTCCTTTATGAAGCATTCTCTGTTTCTGCCTCAGCCCACGTGGATTTCCCATCTCTGGATGCCCCTGGTGTTTATGAAGTATCATTTATCTTAATTGATCAAGCTTGGCCTTTCCAGCCTACCGGGAGAGGGCCCTCTGCTGTGGGTCTGTCTCACCAGGCCCAGGAACTACTGCTTAATGGTGCAGGGCTTCTTTTGGCAGCTGTGATGACTGCCAGCTGCCCAGTACTGTCAGCCACCCTTGCTGTTCACCCCCAGCCTCTTTCAAGGCTCCTGAGGTATGGCTTTGCCAGAAGGCAAAACATCAGAACAAAGGAAATAGAATGAAATCCTGCATCTACAGAGGGTCTGTCTCTACCAACCCTTTCTGTTCCTCATGGACATTTATGTAAGGCAGGGATATTTAAAGTGGTGTCCCAGTTGTTTAAATAGGAAATATCTCTGAGGACATCTCCAGAATATAAGGTCCTTTTATAAAACAGCTATTTTTCTAAATCTGCTTTTGTTTTAAAACTTGACCTAGCTATACAAATTGTTTTAGACCTAACCTATCTAAAGGTCATTTTTAGAAAAATCAGCCACAAGTCTGTAATTCCAGCACTCTGCGAGGCTGAGGTAGAAAGATCTCGAGTTTGAGCCAAGTGTGGGCAACTTAGGGATTTAGTGAGACCCTGTCTCAAAATTGTAAAATTGTAAGCAGGCTGGGAAGGCTCTGTGTTCAGTGTCTAGTACCACAAAAAGGAAGAAAGGGGAAAGAGGAAGAGAGAAAAAGCAAAATCAGCAGATCCAAAGCCACTGTAAAGTTAATATACCGCACCTGTTCCATTTTCTCCCCTTTGCCCCCTGCTCCTCCACATCCTCCTTTTCCTCCCGCTCTTTGCCCTGATCAGGCTATCATGATGGGCATCTCGTGATCCGCTGGTTCTGGGCTGCAGTGGAGCGCTTCAATAATGAGCAGAGACTGAGATTACTGCAGTTCGTCACAGGAACATCCAGTGTGCCCTACGAAGGCTTCGCAGCTCTCCGAGGCAGCAACGGGCTTCGGCGTTTCTGCATTGAGAAGTGGGGGAAAATCACATCTCTCCCCAGGTACAGAGCTCCTGCAAACCTTCAGGAAACTCCCTGCAAAAGGCAAATTTTATCTCTGCTATTGGAGGTTGTATGATCATCCTTTGAGATGAGCTCTTGCTTGTCACCCAGAGTTATTGGTAGTTATTGTTGTTACTTGAGTTATTAGTAGAGGGTATAGGTGAGACGTCCCTGAGAGTTGGGTTGAGATTACAGTCTTGGTTTTAACAGTATTGGGGCTGTAATTATTGGTCTGTATATCAGTCAAGGGAAGGTTTCGAATGTATGTTTGGTCAAACTTCCCTTAAAGAGGAATGCCTAAAATTGGGGGAGGGAATTAAGAACATGAATGTAAAGATGCTGGAGTCCCAAACTAATCCTTCCAGCACATATAAAAGCATATTGTGCCTCCATAGCCTATCACTTGATAGTTAAAGGGAAAGTTACATATTCGTGTGTGTGTGTGTGTGTGTGTGTGTGTGTGTGTGTGTGTCATATTTTTCCCACTTAGTTTTAAAGCATTTTTTTGTTTTGTTTTGTTTTGTTTTTCTCCGGTACTGGGAACCGAACTCACGACCTTGCGCTTGCCAAGCAGGTGCTTTTGCCGCAGAGCTAAATCCCCAGCCCCTAAATATTTTTTTTTCCCCCCCTCGGGTACCGGGAACCGAACTCACGACCTTGTGCTTGCCAGGCAAGCGCTTTGCCGCTGAGCTAAATCCCCAGCCTTAAAGCATTTGAGAATGAGACTATGAGTGTCACTGAGGCTCTATACAGTACCCTATGAAATAACAATTATGGGATAAATTTAGGAAAGGAGGCAGTAGCAGCCCAAGCAGTTTTACAGAACAAACTCCTCAAGCCATGCATCTATTCTTTGTCACTCTGGGTAACATACTTCTGACCGGTGATATAAAGAGCACCAAGAGATGCTCCTATAGAAACAGTATGGTAACAAATATCACTTCAAGTCTATGCCGCACCATCGTGAACATGCCTGATCTCATATGATAAATACTGCTTGGACAAACAGAAGATAACATTAATCCCTATTTCTTCATCTGATATTTTCTAATTAAAAAATAAGATTTGTATTGTATACAGACCTGTCTATGTTGTCATGACCACTTGTGTTAATCCACTTTCTGTTACTGTACAAACACTAGGGAAACATCACCTTAAAAAGAGGAAAGGTGAGCCGGGGATATAGCTCAGTGGCACACCACTTGCCTGGCAGGCAGGCGCAAGGTCCTGAGTTCAATTTCTGGTACCAAAAAAAAAGAGGAAAGGTTTATTTCTTTTGGGCTTTCAGGAGTTTGAGTAGGTGGGGTAGAGCATGGGCTTCTGCATTTTGGAGAGGGGTATTGATGAGCTTTAAAAGAGTGGGTTCAGCAGGAATGAGCATGAGACCCATCTGAATGAATGAGCCTGTGGTTAGGCAGCAGGAAGAGATGTGTGAAGGGATTACACAACTTTCTCAACTGGCCTCATGGCTGAGTGAACAACCACCAGCAGTCATTGTGGCTGCCTCTGTTGTTTCTATTGGATGCTTCTGAGTAGTCTCTAGTGGACAAGACTTTCTCTGGCACTGTATTGGTTAACACTTCAACCAATAACTTAGAAAAACTCGAGGAGACAGAGGAAGCAGCTGAGAAGATAGCATGGGTCAGAGGGCTACACAGTGCATCAAGCAATACAATCTAAACCCAGAATCATCCCAAAGTTTCCAGAACCCTAGGTTGACATCAGCACTATGGAATTTGACATGGCAGGAGTGGGAAGATCCTTGTGGAGTTTGAAAACATCAATTAGGAGATTGAAGGTGATTCACTTGCCAGTAGGTCATTGGAAAAGCCCAGGGTCTTAAGTCACAAGCATGACACAGTTCCTCAAGTCATTATCCAAGTCATGACTGCGTTATTAGCGAGCCTCATGTTTACATGATGATTCACAGGTTAAGAAAGGCATTTATGCGCGTTCTCTCAGTGAGCCTCTCAATAACTCTCTTAGGTGCACACCGCATGTATTATTAGCCCCATTTTACAAGTGAGAAAACTGAGGCTCAAAAGATTAACTGACTTTCCCAAGGTCATAAAGCTGGCCAGTGGCTAGACTGGGATGAGAAGAGAGGCCCAGCCCCTGGTTCCCTGCTTGCTCTCCTGGCCTGTACCTGCCTGGCACCGCTTGGCCTCTCGCACAGGAAATCAGATCAGGGAGCACTGTTACTGTCAGAGCCACACCCGCAGGGCATTAAGCACCCAGGAATGCAAAGCCCAAGTGAGATTTGAGTAAGTTCATTCTAGATGATGAACTAGAGCTTAGCTAAGGGAGTTAACCAACACTGTGGACCAATACAAGAAAAGCAGCCAATAAATAAACTGAGGGTGTTTTAACTATTATTTGTTGATACTTTCCATTTACTCCTCAAAACTGTCTCAGAATTAATTTGGTTCCAGAAACATTATAGGGAAAAAAACCCTCATATTTACATACAAATATGAGGGTTTTTTTCCCTATAATGTTTCTGCTTTCAAGTGCCATTAAAATGACCAGAGGGAGAAAAGCAAGATGGTATCTGCTTATAACTCACTCCCGGATAATTCACCTAGTTCCTAAGCACACTTGGGATTTTTCTGCTCCACTTAACATGGTGAGGCATAGCCTAGTGCATGTTCTAGTTTCAGTCTTTCTAAACATACAGAAGAATCTCTGCCATCATTGTCCTAGTCAATTTATTGACCTTCTATTCACTTTCACTCGAATACTCTGGTTTGGGTAAAATATTGATGTTGCTTTCTTTTGAAGTGGACGTAGGTCAGGTTGGATCTTAGGTAATGACTGGAGAACTCTGCTAGTTGCTGTCTTTGGAGGGGAAAAGCAGAGAGGAGGAAGGGAGTGGGGATGAGACAGTTCCCCAAGGACAAGAAGGGAGCTGTTCTAAGGGGAAAGGGATACTGGGAAGATAAAAAAGAAACCACTGACATCTTCCTTAGATTCTCCTGCACAGGAAGAGGTACCTTCTCTCTCCAGTCCCCTCCTGCCTGATCCCCAGACTAATCTCGCCCATACCCTGAGTGTTGCTGCATCTGCCTTCACAGCGGTCTGGAACTGGTACGCTGGTTATAGAATTCAAAATAATGGTTAATTCCCAGAGAGATATTTCATTAGGAGTTTAATGTCCCAAACAAAATCCAGTGGAGGGAATTTAGTTTTATTTGTGCATATATTAGTTTTGTTATTTTATTTTATTTTTATTGTCTTTCTGTGCTAGTTGGTGTCTCCAAACATCACTTCAACACATACCACCTTCTAGGAAGGAAAAGGGATAAAATTAACTTCCAGCTGCACCCCTTCTCCTTTCTCCCTACTTTGGGACAGGACCCAGCATCAATGAAAGTTCATAGAAACAAAAAACTCTTGAGAGCAAGTAGCTAGTCAGGTGACTGAGGTGACGCAGGAGGAGTCCATGTGTGCTGTGTTTCCGTTCTAACTGCTGGAGACCCACGGGGGCGTTTTTCAGTCCCCTTGTTAGCAGCTCTGTAAGGAAGGCATTCATGGTCTAGGGCAGACTCTGGCAAGCATGGGCCTGCAGGATGAAGCACATGACAGGTGAGACAGAACCTGGGGCAGTGATGTGAGGATACCTTGGCTTTGAGGGAGGGCTGTCTCACAAGCTCAGCTTTTCTTGGAAATGCAACCCTGCAACTTCAGATGATGTGTATCCTACTGGGTAGAGGAGTCAGACTTGTCTCTGGGGCACACCTGACGTGAATGCAGAACTGAATCTCCAAATTCCAGAGCACTGTGGATTCCTCCAGAATACACTTGGTTTAAAGCAGCCCTGAAATAGGAGGTAGGCTAGGAGACTTAAGAATCTGATCCTTTAATAGCAATTACTTTTCTTCCTCCTTCATTGACCACATTGAAGTTTATATCTCAATTACAAGAGCCAGCTGGTACCATAGAGTTGATCACAGTTCACTAGTGTAGTTTGCTTACAAATCCCAACCACCCATATCTGGTTGCTCCATTTCCTCAACTGATTTTTCTGGTTTGTAGTTTGCAGTGTTTTATAACTGTCCTAAATCACAGTCTTCTTTATTTTTGATTTCCCTTTGAAGTCACAGATATTTCCAGTGCCAGTCTTATCACTGACTTTTACCAATCTTTTCTCCTCCATTTAGGGCACACACATGCTTCAACCGATTGGATCTTCCACCCTATCCCTCTTACTCCATGTTGTACGAGAAGCTATTGACAGCAGTAGAAGAAACCAGCACCTTTGGACTTGAGTGAGGAAACAGAACCTCACTGACGTTTTCGTGGCCAGTGACATCACCCTTTCTGGGATGATCCCTTTCCTATCCCCTTAATCAACTCTCCTTTGATTTTGGTATTCCATTATTTTTATTTTCAAACCAAATCAGGATTGACAAAGCTGTGCATGAAGAACTGCCTTCTTCTAAGATCTAACCTTCAGGCTTCTCTCCTCTGTTTCCAATGAACTGCTAGCCTGTATGCAATATTAAAACAAAAAAACAGCTGTCTCAAGGTCTGTGTATATCTCCACATACCTCCATTACTAACAATGAAATATGAATGCAAGCAATGCTATTCTCGACCAAATGGTAATAAATGTTTACTTCCATTTCTATCGTTTAAGGGAAAATTTAAGCATTTGCATTCCAAGCTTTTATATGCCCATATCTTCTGAGCAGAGCCACCACTTTTTATCATTTCTGACAATCAACTCCAGACCTAGGAGCTGATTAACCCTTTGTTTTCCTCCCACTCTGCTTTTCCCCATGTGTGCTACCCACCCGAAGGACAGCAAGTGGCAACACTGAACTTTTTATACATTCAACTCATGATTCATAGGTGGCATCAGTCCCATCAGCCGGAACTAGCCTAGACAAATGGTGCAAATATGACATGTCCAATAATTAACAACATCAAGCTAAACACTCCCTGCTGACGTGACGCAGTGCATCCCAGTGATTGTGGGGACCGTGGGCTCAACTTGAATTCAGAGAAGTCAGGAGGTGGGTGAGCACCTCCAATAAACACCACACGAGAAGCACAAACTTGTGCACATGTTTACGAAAGAAGTCTTCGCTGACGTAGGCGAAAGGATGAGGTTTCAACCTCCTTGTGTTGCATAAAATGTGGTAAAACAAATAGGAGAAAGGAGATGAAGGACATAGTACATTGTTTTGAATACCTGGGTTCTGTACTGTTTTGTTCAGTCTAGGTACAGTTCTTCACAGCAGAAAAAAAAAATGTGTAGTTAATTTCACGACTTTTGTTAAAGCCAAGTTTCCTTACTCAGCAGGCGAACTTTGTTTTTTCTTTAAGCTATTGTTTTCATACACTGTTTTCTTTTTTAAATCATGGTGGTCAAGTTCCTCCACATTGGGTCATCCGCGGAGACCACACTAAGAAGCTGCAGAGAGTGACGGTGCTTGTTAGGGATCAAGGGCAATATGTACTTCTCCTCCATCCATAGCAATCCTCCAGAGGCACATTCGTTTGTGTCAAAATAAATATCCAGTTTCTTTGAGCATTGAGTAAAAAGATACGTTCCAAAACTTTTGTGTTTTCACAAAATCGGTTGCAGGCTCTAAAGGCCTCACCTCTTAATTACATTTGAGATCAACCCAACCACAGTGGTCATTTGCTATTTTTGTAACCTTGTTACCCATGTTGTCTGAAATGTGTCAGAAATGAAAGTGTTTTTCTTCACTGGGAAAAGAAAAGTTAAAGAGACCTGACTATGTAAATGTCTCATTATTTTCAATGTATTAAAAGAAGGAGAAATGTGAAAAATGTAAAACAAAATTAATTTCAGATAAAACAAAATTAATTTTCAAATTAATTTTCAGATGAAAAATGTAAAACAAAATTAATTTTATGCCTTGTATGTGAACAGGGTGTTACTTGTGTTCCTTGTACTCTGAAAGAAAATAAAGCTAAAATAAACTCTAAAATAGTATAAAGCTGTAAAACTAAATAGGAATTAGTAACAATGCCCAGCACCACTTGCTGCCGTTTTTCTGTTCTCAGTCAGGGAGTATATATTATAGAAATTTAACATTTATCTAATATTGCTTACAAAGAATATTTACCAAGATAGGATGGAATGTGTAAGTTCTATGATACAGAGTTTGAGGGATATGTAAAATTCAGTACACATTTCAGTATCTGAAAAGTGATGGATTCCAGGACAGCTGTTGTATATGAAATGAGAACACTGGGATTATGTAAGTCATTTTATCATATCTTTATTGTAACTCCTTGCACAGCATCTCTAATATGGGGGATGTCTTTAATCTTTAGAATTTAGTATTATATATATATAATCATTAATTTAAGCATTCAAATCTTTTTTTCATACTTGTTTTTTGTGGTAGTGGGGACTAAACCCAGAACTGAACTGAAGTACATCCCCAACCCCCCCCCCCGGTCTTTTTCCCACAGCACTGGAGATGTAACCCAGGGCCTTTCCACTGAGCTGCATTCTCAGCCTTTTTTCTTTTTCTACTTTTGAGGCAGGGTCTCATTAAATCACTAGGTTGCCCGGGCTTGACTCAAACTTGTGATCCTCCTGTCTCAAGCCTCCAAGAATACTGAGATTACAGACATACACCACTACACCCACTTATTTTTTAGTACTTCTATTATTTGTCAAGCGTTGGAAAGGAAGAAAAGTGCTCAAAAAATAAGAGTCTGCTCCTGGAGAGCTTTACAACTTCATAAATGTCTACTTAATCTATTAATTATATTAGTTAATATTTACCATATACAGAAAGAACAGGTTATAATAAAAAATTATACATAAATATGTAACTTGGGCGTTAGTGATTTTTCAACTAACTTTTCCTTATCCACCATCTCTACCATAGATGCCTTGCCCAAGATGTAGTTCACCAAGTGTAACAAGAACAGCATTTCATAAAAGTGCAAAATGCTATGAAGAGATACTGATGTCAAAGTCACCTGAGAAAATGTGAAGTTCACTTAACTTAGCTGTAGCATTCCATTTGAGCCTTCCTTGGAGGAAGAAAATCAAGGGTAGTGAAGCTGAGTAATCAGTCCCTAGAAGGATCTTTTACCTCATACCTAAGTCTGATTGTAAAATCATATGTAATTTTCTCATATATATGAAGAAATGGCCGTAAAACTAAATTTTCCCATGCATTGCAACAGGTGGAGCCATGAACCACTTCAAATAATATAATTTAAAGGGTAAGGCAGATCTGTTTGTTTAAAAAGCAATATACACTTGTTTTTTAAACTTAAAGCATGAATTTACCCCATGGAGGAAAATTGCAAAATTAATCACCTATAATCACACCCCCTCTAAAACAAGATTGTGTTTTAGCAAGAGTTTTAATAGAAGCATAAGAAGTGTAAGTGTTGTTTGCTTTTTTTTTTTTTAAGACCCTTTGTTGAGAGACAAGCAAGAATTTTATATAAGGGAAATTTTATGCTATGATTTTGAAAAATGCTTTAAGGTATTATAATAATTTCATGGGTGCACAAACATTTCACTCTAAAATATGAAGAAGATAATTCCAAAAATAAAAGCCAACTGTACAGGGTAGGAAGAAGCATTCTAGATCTCCTGAATTCTTTGTGACTTCCTTTGTATATAAACAGGCAAAAGTTGTGAAAAATTTTTACTACCGTCACTTTGTACCACAAAAGTTGAGGGGAAGGTGGTGAGAAAATTAAGAAAAAAAGCGATATGATTTTTGAGAAGGTTTTACATATTCAGTACTTAAATCTCTTTCCTTTTAATACATGACCACGTGTCCTTTAACTATAGGAATAGTTGTGTGGCAAGCCAGTGAACTCAGTTTTTCAGGACAATTCTAATGTTGTATCAGTCAGCTTGTCAGTCTATGTGTCAAACCACGTGCATGAAATTTGAGTTCAGAACATTTCTCAAAGGCCACAAATATTTTCCCAGTCAAGATGAAAACACTTTCAAATGAAAATAGTTAGAACTTTACATAACAAATGTGGTGCTTTATTATTATTATTATTATTATTATTATTATTATTATTATGTATTTCAGTGTTCATGATTAAAACTACTGCAATACTATATCATTAAAACCTGGGGTGGGTGTTCCTTCCCACCATCACGAGGTCCAAAAGAGAAAGTGTTATTTTCCTGTTAGTGACATGTAGTCCCTTTGTTCTAGTAGAAAAAAAAAAAAGGTGCCTAGAGGTAGTATATAGAGTAAATATTGTTCCATTAGCCTACTTCCTGCAGCTTCAAGTTTATCTAAGGAAACGTCTATGACAATTTTGTTAAAAAAGTCTTTGTTCTAGTCATAGCAGAAGAAGTCCACGTTACTGGGCTGATTTTGCTTACATTGACAAGAAAAATGTCATGTGATACTCAGGCCGTGCTTTCTCTTCTATCCTACCACCTTCAAGGAATGTCAATAAACTCACTTTGGTATGGCACGGTGTATGCTCCTTATTGCAAAGGGAAATCCAGGGTCACACATCACGATTTGTGTCCTGCCTACTCCTACTGGATATAAGCAGTAAAGCAGCATAGAAGGCTACCAGCTGGTATGATAACTAATCTCCAAGGGTAGGGTCATTTATGAGAAAAAAAAAAAAAAAAAACAGTATATGCTCACAGATCTGTGAATAAAGGAACAGCTTTTGTTAAGAAGTTCCTTGTGTATGTCTCTTAGAACACAGACCATACTTGTGTATGTCTCTTAGAACACAGACCATTCTGGGCATACTTCGTGTAGAACCAGGGGACACTGGCATATATAAAACCCTGCCTGTTGACATGCTTCTGCCAAAACTTCCGGCCACAGCCTACTACCCAGTGTGGCCCTAGGATGAGAGTTGGCAGCACTAGGCACCATGTGCCCTCTGGCACAAATCACAGATGGCATCCCTTCCTTCCAGGCCTCCAGAAGACCAACCATGTGGCTCTCACCGGGGCGGTCAGAAGCTGATTTATTTGGGGGAAGAAAAATATTTTATTATGAGGGAAGAATAGGAGTAGGATCCAGAGAAGGAAATCCAGAGGGACTGACTGAGAGTGAAGGAGATCTACAGATGATACATTTTTATACACGTGCTTAAATTGCTTTAGTTTGTTTCTAACTGAAATTAGTTTCTCCAGTACAGTATAAGAAAACAATTAACCTATTGGCCTTTTTGGCTTGCTTGGGCCTAATTGAGTTTTATCTTGAGCCTCATATGTATATCAATAACAAAGTTTCTGTTACTTTTAAATATTTTCTATTAAAACATTAAAGAGGGCATGCAGCCTGCAGGCCACAGGCTGGGTAAGCATATAAGAATAGGAAAAAAAAAAGAGTAGCTTAGCCAGAGATGGGAGCACATGCCTATAATACCAGCACTTGAGAGGCTGAGGCAGGAGAATCACTGTGAGTTTAGGCCAGCTTGGGCTACCTAGTGAGTTCAAGGTCAGCCTGAGAAGAAGAGGTTACAGTGTTTTAATCTGATCATTATTCTGAAGTCAAGGTGAGACGTTAGAGCTGGGCATGGTGGTGCACAGCTGTGATCTCAGCACTAAGGAGACTGAGGCAGGAGGATTGCTGTGAGTTTGAGGCCAGCCTGGACTACATAAGCAAGTTTAAGGCCAGCCTGAACTACATACTGAGACCTTGTCTCCAAAAAAAAAAGATTAGATTTTAGAGATCCTGATTTCTAGGGCCGTGTTCCATATGCTGTTCTGAAACTCATTAATTGCATGCTGCAAGAGAAAAAAGTGACACAGACAGCTTATATTCAAGATATAGTTTGGATATGCTTCTAGGGGGTTGTTCTGTTTTCCCTCTTCTGTCACTCTGTCTGCCTCTGTCTCTGTCTCTCTCACCCTTGCCCTCGCCCTGTCTCTCTCTCTCCCTTCTTCTCCCCCGCCCCCACCCCCGTCCCTCCGTCTTGCTGTCCTGAGACTGAACTCAAGACCTCACACATATTAGACAAGTGCTCTACTACTGTGCTACACCTCACAGACATTTATTGATTGATTGATTGATTGATTGATTGATTGATAAGGTCTCACTAAGTTTCCCAAACTGGCCTCAGACTTGTGTTCCTCCTACCTCAGTATCCCAAGTAGCTTGGATTACAGGTATGTTTCACCACATGGGGCAAACGATATTTTTATAACGGGGTACAGGAACAGTTAGGAAAGATCAGGCTGACCTTTACACTGATCAGCAACCACCACCTTCACAGCTAGGGGTAGATATAGCTATCATTCCCTGGCTGGTTTATCTTGGAGGCAGGTGATCTGATACAAGGAGAGTTGATTTGTTCAAGGCCTCTAAGCCTTATTTTAGAGGCTAACAGGATGCCCTGTCACCAGCTATCCCTTGGGGCCTTGGACCTGGCATCATCATCAGGAAATCTGCTGAGAGGGTGTGCAGAAGCGATGGGAACAAAGAATGTGTCATCGAGACAGTTGGAGTCCCCAGCTGGTGTGTATTCTCCAGAGAAAGGAGTGCCAGTTCATTCCCAAAGTCCCTTCCTGTGATTTTGCTAGGGCACTCTTATGAAGCAACACAAAGTGGTGGTGTAGACGTGTCTAACAGCTTGAGAAGGAGGTTATCAGGGAGCTGGTTCTTTCTGAGGACTACGAGAAACAATTATTCTGTCCTGTTTCCTAGATTTTGGTGGCTGCTGGCAGACTTTTGCATTTCTTGCCTTGTAAATCACTGTCTTCATCATCCTACAATGTCCTCCTTGTGCACATGCCTGCATGTACAAGTTGTGTGTGTGTGTGTGTGTGTGTGTGTGCAAATGTGTGTACAAATCCCCCTTTCTATAAGGACACCAGTCATGGAACAGTAAGACCTACTCTAATCACCTCAACTTGATTAGCTCTGTAAAAATTCTAACTCCAAATAAGTCCACACTTGAGGTCCTCAGAGTTACAGCTCAAACATACAGTATCTTATTTTCTGGACATAATTAAACCCATCACACCCTCTTTCCTGCTACTTTACTAACACTGAACTATAGTAATAATATATACTGGTATATATTTCATGTATCATCCATGAAATAGCTACTTTTATATATCCTTACTTTAAGCTGAAAATAATAGCCTGGTATGGTGGCATATACCCATCACCCCAGTACTGTGGGAGGTTGAAGCAGGAAGAGCTCAAAGTTCCAGCCCAACCAACTAGGCGACTTATTGAGACCCTCTGTCAGAATTTTAAAAGGATGGAAATGTTGCTCAGTGCAAAAGTTCTAGGTTCAATCCTCAGTACTACTGAGAGAGAGAGAGAGAGAGAGAGAGAGAGAGAGAGAGGAGAGAGAGACTGATCAACTTACCCAGAATCACATAGCTAGTAAAGAGCCAAGATTTGAGTAAAAGGAGACTGTCCAAGACCAAGCATTCAAACACTTCCACATGCTATATTCATTCAACTAACCATTTACTGAATACGGTAAGTAGCTCCCCCTCATCCACAGAGGACATGTTCCAAGATCCTTGGTGGATTCCTGGAACCAAATAGTCCTGA